ATTTTTTGGTTGCAGCCGTCATTGTTGTTTGGCGGGTCCGGGCTGGGGATTCGAACCCGCCGCCCTAGGTGTACGTGGCTGGCGCCCTAGCCGGTTGAGCTATAGGCGCCGAGCTTTGATTTTCCATTCTTGTGATACTTTACTAAAGTGAATATTCTACAAGTATATCCAGGTTAACACAAAAGATGCAAACTCTTCATCTTTTTATGGCTGAATAGTATTCCATGGTATACATTTACCACATTTGTTAATTGATTGGTTGATGGCCACTTGGCTTGTTTCCACACCTCAGCAATTGTAAATTGAGCTGTGATAAACATTCTAGTGTAAATGTTCTTATATTTTATTTCAACATTTTTTAAAGTTTAAATCTTGAATTTATGTGTTATTTTTGTATCATAGTCTAACTTTTTAAATCTTTTTTTTTTTTTTGAGACAGAGTCTCACTTTGTTGCCCTTGGTAGAGTCCTTTGGCATCATAGCTCACAGCAACCTCAAACTCTTGGGCTCAAGCGATTCTCTTGCCTCATCCTCCTGAGTAGCTGGCACTACAGGCTCTGGCCACAATGCCTGGCTATTTTTAGAAGCCAGGGTCTCACTCTTGTTCAAGCTGGTCTTGAACCTATGACCTCAAGCAGTCCACCCACCTTGGCCTCCCAGAGTGCTGGGATTACAGTTGTGAGCCACTATGCCCGGCCTATATTTTATATTTTTGAGACAAGGTCTTGCTCTGTTACCTGGGTTGGAGTACAGTGATATCACTGTAGGTCACTGTAAGCTCAAAACTCCAATACTCAAGTGATCTTCCTGCCTCAGCTTCCTGAATAGGTGGGACTACAGGCCACTTCACCCAGCTAAGTTTTCTATTTTTGGTAGAGATGAATTCTCACTATGTTGCCCAACTGTTTTCAAACTCCTGACTTCCAGTGAACCTCCCATTTCAGCCTCCCAAAATGCTAAGAACATAGGTGTGAGCCACTAGACCTGGCCTTGTATTATAAATGAACTTTAAAATAATGTGGAGTTCTAATGTGGAGTTTAATAATAGTTTAATAATTAAGATTGTTTGCTAGGGCTTGGCGCCTGTAGCTCAGCATATGTGGCGCCAGCCACATACACCAGGGCTGGTGGGTTCCCGCCTGGCCCAGGCCTGATGAACAACAGTGACAACTATAATAAAAAAAAATAGCCAGGCGTTGTGGTGAGCGCCTGTAGTCCTAGCTACTTAGGAGGCTGAGGCAAGAGAATTGCTTAAGCCCCAGAGTTTGAGGTTGCAGTGAGCAGTGACACCACAGCACTGTATCGAGGGTGAAATAGTGAGACTCTTGTCTCAAAAAAAAAAAAAAGATTGTTGTCTAGTATCATTTTTGCTCTGAATTTCCAGTTTACATTTTAAGGATTTTGACAAGATGATGAAGACCCTTGAGGAAGCAGATATGTGTAATTTCATGAACTGAATTTACATGAAAATCACAGAAGAGCTCAAAAATAGTGTCTAAAACATGTTTTGTTTCTTTTTCCCTAGGTTTGAGTTTAGGCTTGTGCACTTACTAGCTATCCTTTGGCAAACACGTAACATTTCTTAGTTTTAGTTTCTTCACTGGTGAAATTTTGGGGTATGGCCTGGCATGGTGGCTCATACTTGTAATTACGGCACTTTGGGAGACTGAGACCAGAGGATCACTCACTATAATAGAGCTATGATAGTGCCACTGTACTCCAGCCTGGATAACAGAGACTATCTCTCAAAAAAGCCAAACAACAACAACAACAACAACAAACCATATTGGGGTAACTCCATGGGTGGGGCCCATCCTCTGTTTTAGTAAGGCCTCCAGGTGGTTCCAACCCACACTGCCTGAATTTACCTTTTTTAGATAAGGACACTAAGGTCCAAAGAGGCTATCACAAATTAATTAGAGAACTGTACTCGGATCTTCTAGAATGATGAACAATCATTCAGTGAAATTTGATTATTGTGCTAATTGATAAACAGTATTTGAAAGAAGTTTAGGTGGGAATAAGCATATGGGGGAAGAATCTATCATTTAACCTACCTGGAGGGCTTCTTAAAGTTCAACAGCATTTTTTTTTATCCATTGAAATTCAGTCTGAAAGAAAAGTTTGTTTGATCCAATATGTGTTTTATTCACTTAATTATTCACATGTCTTATTACCTGAAGCAAAGTAAATGTGTCATTTAAGTAACCACCATTCCATCACTCCTCTCAAGGTAAGGAATTTCTAGGACAGGCATCCTCAAACTACGGCCTGCAGGCCACATGCAGCCCGCCTAGGACATTTATCTGGCCCGCCAGGTGTTTTTGCGGCTGCTGCCTGTCCTGCTTAGCAGTGGACTTGTCCCTGTGCCCGCAGTCCGGCCCTCCAACGGTCTGAGTAAACTGGCCCCGTTTAAAAAGTCTGAGGACCCATGATCTAGGATATGCTCTTACAACTTTCATTTTTAACAAACTCCTCACTTTTAAGAATCACTGGCTCGGTGCCTGTGGCTCAAGTGGCTAAGGTGCCAGCCACATACACCTAAGGTGGCGGGTTCAAATCCAGCCTGGGCCCGCCAAACAAGGACAGCTGCAACCTAAAAATAGACGAGGCGTTGTGGCAGGTGCCTGTAGTCTCAGCTACTTGGGAGGCTGAGGCAGGAGACTCGCTTGAGCCCAGGAGTTGGAGGTTGCTGTGAGCTGTGATGCCACAGCGCTCTACCCACGGGGACAGCTTGAGGCTCTGCCTTAAAAAAAAAAAAAGAATCACTAATACAGAAGATGTTTAAAGTGGTTAAGAATAAAGCTAGTTGGACTAGACCAATATTTTCAATATCCTTTAATTTGGGTTCTACAATGAAAACCTGCATGTTTTACAAATGTATATATGATAAAGTCAATATAACATTAGAATTTGCTCCAGAAATTCATAATGAAATGCTATAAGGATGATTAACTATAGTTTCCTCAAAGTCTAAAAAGAAAAAAAAAGAAAGAAAAAAAATTCACTATAGTAGGGCAAAGAGATCACCAGTATAAGAACAAGAGTTGACACAATGGGCCAGGTGTAGTGGTGACTCATGATCCTAGCACTCTGGGAGGCTCAGGCAGGAGCTTGCTTGAGGCCAGGAGTTTGAGGTTGCAGCGAGCTATGATGGGGCCACTGCTCTCTAACCAAGGAGATACAGGAGACCCTGGTCTCAAAAAAATTAATACATATAATAAAAAAGAGTTTAAACAGTGGATCTTGCTCTAAACTACACATTATCTATGGTACTGCCTGGAGTCAGCCTTGACTTTTTCCACAGGACAAATAAACATCATAGCTTAGTATCTCAGTAGTACTCAGAAGTTTTAGCTTTTCAAGATTATAGTGTGTAGGGTAGCCAAGTTTAAGAAAAAAAGATACAATACCTGGAGAATAAGAATAGAATTAAAATTCTGCAAGGTCAAAATTATATAGCTTATTTTTTTGTAGTATTTAACAGTTTTCAAAAATTTTTCTCTATGCAACAGCCATATGAAGAAGTAAATCTGTACTAGCAAAACCGATTCAAAGTTTTATTTATTTATTTTTTAGAAACAAAGTCTCATTTTATCGCCCTTGGTAGCAACTCCGGGGCTTAGGCGATTCTCTTTCCTCAGGCTCCCGAGTAAGCTGGGACTATAGGTGTCCACCACAATACCCAGCTATTTTTGTTGTTGTTGCAGTTTGGCTGGGGCCAGGTTTGAACCCGCTATCCTCGGCATATGGAGCCTGCGCCCTACCCACTGAGTCACAGGCGCCGCCTTGATTTAAAGTTTTAAGTACTGAATCTTTTAGGAAAAGATAGAGAAGTTGACAGAACCAGAAAGTGACAGAAAAGGTCATGAGGCGGCAAACCACTGAAATGGCAAGCACAAAAAGCTGAGGCCTAGGGAAGTGGGCAAACCAGAACAAACGGGGTAATTCTGGCAGGGAAAGCAGCTTCGGTGGGCAAATGAAAAAAGCAGAAATGCAGGACATTTGGGATTAGGAAACTTCCTAACAAAGAGGATGAGGTCAAAGATGAGAAAAATGAAAAGTCAGGTGGCACTTAAAGCTACATGGAAGCTTTGTGAGCATGATCCCTGCCCTGGTGAGGTGTGACCTTTCTCAGGGGATAGTCCCCAGAGTCGAGGCTGCGATCTCCTTCGGCCTCCATTCAGGAGCGGAGAAAGGCCTCAGAAATTTCTCAGGACGATGACCACCCCCACCGGGTTCGGCCCCAGGGTGAGGAGGGCGCCAGCGCGTTCCCGCCGGGCTAACAAAGGCAGGCAGGGGGTACTTCTCAAGCCGCGCGACCAGAGGTGGCCGAAGGGTTAACTGCGCGACCGAATCCCGCGCGCATCCCGGCCCCTACCCCCGCCGTCGCTAGGAGACGCCGGAAGTGGGGGAGGGGCGGGCGGCGCGGGCGAGGGTGGGAATCTTTTTCGGGCGCCGGGGGCGGAGGGAGGGGAGCGCGCGTGCGCGCGCCCGGCTGGCCGTCGCCGCGGTGACCGTCCTCGCAGTCCGTCGGCTCGCGCCCCGCCCCTGTCGCCCCCTCCCCTGTGGCGCGCTGGGGCTGTTTCTCGCTCCTCCCGAGTTACCGCCGCCGTCTCCGCTGCTCCTCCTCTCCCGGTCTTGGGTTTCCCTAACGTTGCTGCCACCGCTACCTCTGCGGGCTATATGAGGAGGAGGAGGAGGAGGATGTGAAGATGGCGGAGCTGCAGATGCTGCTGGAAGAGGAAATCCCGGGGGGCCGCCGGGCCCTCTTCGACAGCTACACGAATCTCGAACGGGTGGCCGATTACTGCGAGAACAACTACATTCAGGTGCGACGCATTCCCTGGCTCAGGCGCTTCGGGTCTCGGCGTCGTGAGAGGCGCGCGGGAGGTCACCGAGCCAGGGGCCGCACGCCTGGGGAGTAGGGCGCGCGGGGCCGAGGCCGCCGCTGGGACGCTGCGGCCCGGCTGAGTCCCGGGTCGGGAGGGGCGTGGGGAGCAGGGTAAGGCTTGGGATCGGTGAATGGGTGGGGATCCACTGGCTGGAGGAAATCATATCTTTAAAACATTTTTATAAACCGTGAACCAGTCTTCGGCTGGGTGCGTGTTTCGCGTCCCGCCGCCTCGCTTCTCCTGTCCTCGGCCGCCCCCGCGCTTGTGCGGGGCGGAGGAGCTGGAGAGAGGCATTTTCTATTTGACGGGATCTTGCTCCCCTTATGGTGGGGGGAGTGTGTGGGGGAATTGATGCATTACCCCATCCCCCAAATTCGGGAGGCTATTTAAGAGGCTATGTTACTGCAAAGTGAAGTGCTTCTGTTTTCTTGTGAATGCCTCAAACATCTTTTTTTAAAAGGGATACGGTAGAAAAGCAGTTATCTCTTGTTGAAAGTTAATGCCATTTTTCTTATGGCGGATAGGAAGCTGCATGATAATTCGTTTTTTTTCTTGTTAGTCCTGTTAGAATAGACAGTTTTCCTATGGGAGAAAGAAGTGTAACTGATTTTTTGAGAGAATTAGGAAAATAAACCTCATGGTTTAATTTTTTCCCGTGATGGTTGGTGTGGGCACAGGGAGCTCATAGTGGTATCGGGTGTTGTGTGTGTGTGTGTGTGTGTGTGGGCGGTGAATGTTGGGTGAGAAAAGATTCAGATGCTCCTGGACGAAGCAAAAGATTCTGTGGATTAAGAAAAGTCCTATTTCAAAAATTATATGAAAGGATTGCAGGTTAAAAGGCATGGTTTGCAAATCCAGCATCAGCATCTAACTTTTTATTTTTTTCTTTCCCATTTAAATTCTCTTGGGATAAGGGTGGAAATGGAAGCAGTATGTTAAATTGTTTCTTCAGTCTTTTTTTTCCCCCTTTCTTCCCTTTCTACCTGTCCAGGCCATCATCCTTAACATCAACTCCATTGGAAAGTATTCTCAATTCTTAAGTGTTAATTAAAATACCTGTTACAATTCATAGGTTCGTAAATTTCATAAGGGCCATAAGGTTAAGGATGATATTGTGAGATTTTGTTTGATTTGACATATAGTGAATACTGTATTTCTTGTAGAGAATAATGATGTGGAAGAATGAACCAGACATAATTCAGACTTTTCCCTCCAAAGAGGCAGTTAAATATGGCTAGCAGAAAAGGAATGTGGTCAAAGATTAATGAACATAAAATACAAATGTCCATACTTGTATGCTACTTTGCTGATACTGAGTAGGAAAGATTCAAAGGTTTATTTTCTCAATTTTACACTGAATGTATCTGAAAGTATTTTATGGCCCAGGACTATGTGTGTCAAGGGCTAATGGTAGTAGGAGAGGCTGATGTATAAGCAAAGTAATATCACAGGATTTTTTTTTTTTTTTTTT